TAGTTGAGTCCTAATGAGTCTGAAAATATAAATAAAATATTTAAGTGATATTATGTTCCTGCCCATTTAAGGGTGAATGTGATCCAGTGCTTGTTTTGGTTTATATGCCTGTGTACACAATCCTGCATTCTGCATTGCATTTGTAATGATCCAACTCCATTTACTTGATGAATGAAGTAAACACATACAGCATTGTACTTGAGAGCTCGGGCAAAGGAAACCAACTCACATTTGATTCCTTGCGAAGATGTTTTATTCCCTGTGAGTTCAGTGCAATTATTTTCCACAGAAGCAAACTCATCTCCTCTGGATATGTCTCTGTATATTACATTGACTCCTGGGTTGGAGCAAAATGAATGTTCCCTTTTCCCTTTCATCCGACCATAACCCTGCAGCCAAAATTGCATTAAATATTCCTTTTATATCTTCACCTTCGGAGGGCAGTCCCTTGTAATTGCTTGGCTGCACTGTATGCCAATAAATAACTAATAAAAAAAAACACACACACACACACACATAAACTCTGATTTCTGGTCATGCTGGAACAGATCCTGGGAGAAATGCATTCTGTATTCATTACAATGACACCGTGAGGACATGCCTAGAATTTAGTATGCTCGAAAAACATAATCTGGGAAAAACAGTTCAGTTTTTTCCTGCAGCGTACAAAATGTATCTACAAGTGATGTGTACACTGCAGAGAGTGTACAGTATATTGGCAAACAAGATGCCTGAGGCGGCCATAAATGTTTAAGAGCTTTTTAAATTTAGAAACAGCAAAGTGAATAGTTGTATTCTGAATACTTCAGTCAGATGAGGGGTCTTATCAGGGACAGATCCATACCTGGCTGTTTCATTACTCACAGCTGCACACATGAATGTCTCGGCAAAAATGAAAAGAGAATGAATAAAAAGGCAGTATGTACACACTACTGATAATTAATATCGTCCTGCAAAGCTGCCTACCACTAGAATGTGTAGAATTTCCTGTAAGTGTGGATGCTAGAGGAGGCAAGCGTGGCGATAGATTAGTTGTGCTCAGGGGCGGACTGGCCATCTGGACGTTCTGGAGAAGTCCAGAACGGCCGTCGGCCTGTGGCTGGGTCATCATCAAAGAAAAAGTGTCAGATTAAGTGACGTTGACGGCCGACAAAAGGGGGTGCTAATGCAATCTATTTTTGCTTATAAGAAACATAAACTGATGTGAAGAAGAGTGGGCTCGTGATGGCAAGCAAAAGACGTGAAGATAAAGGCGGTTGGGAGAAGCTAAAAGGAAAAAAATTGAAGAGTTACATCAGGTTACCTTTGCCTGACTCTCTCACTATACACAGCATGTAGCCTATAGCACTATATCCGAGCGTCCACTGCTATTTATCACTCTGCATTGTCTGGCATGAATATTCAATTCGTTCATAACGAGACAGCAGCGATTCTACAACGGGTTACATTTGAGAGTTATTGGGTTAGAAAATAGAGTAAATGAAGTAGCCTATAAGGTGATTAGTCTGATTAACATGACACACACACTCACACACACTGAGAGATATGAATACTCAAATTGAAGAATTCTGTTGTTTCAGGTTTCTAGATTCTAGGTTTATGTTTATCATTGTCATATACATTTTGCATTCTGCTCTTTTTATGTAGATTTTAGTTCATACAATAATACATTTATTTAAATCCTCTGTTGAAAAAAAAATAGAAAGCATCACAATTTGTAATGGTTTTAATGGTTATAACAAAAATTGTATTGGTTTTAATGAAAACTGTAATGGCGCCTGTTGGTCTCTACTGGTAATTGGTCACCTTCTATTCATGGCTTTTGTTAAAGCCACTAAATCCTAATGTAATATGGCCCAAAACACAATACAGGAAACCATTATTTAATGGTTTTAATGGTTAAAAGTTGATGGTTTGTAATGTTTGTAATGGTATTTGTAGTGGAAATCATTCGAATGTCTGTGATGGTTTCTATTGTTTTTGTCAGCAGGGTCACCATGGGTTTTTTTAATGGTATTTGCCATAAATGCGATAGGATGTCTGTAATATTGTGAGATAGTAGTTTGTAGTTGTTTGTTTGTAGTTGTGGTGGGCCTATTTGGGAGAAACTCCAGGGCTGTTTTTTACTCCCAGTCCGTCCCTGGTTGTGCTGGTGTATTAATGGTAGGCGCTTAGTGGCTTGGTGGGGTGTCATAAGCAAGGTCAGCATAATATATAGATTACTTAAACATGAACATGAACATACTGTTTCAGCCAAAGAAAAACTATTTCTTTTTCTTGAAACAAAAACTGATCATTACTCTATTAATGAATGTGATGTAATGCTAAATATCTGCAAATCTGTTACAATGAAGAAACAAACTTTTCTACAGGATGGCCTGAGGTTGAATACATTTTCAGCAAATTCTCATTTTTGGGTGAACTATTCCTTTGAGTACTATTTTAGTGAAATCACATTCAGTCGAGTGCTGGTATTTGCGGTAACAGTTATAAAGTTCCATTATATTTGGTCATTTTGTTTGACTTGTAAATGTCACCTTACAGAAGTAACATGGTTTGTGAACGACAATTCATGTTGACTTTAAGTGATTATGATTATTAATAAAATTAAGATGTTCAATGTGTGACAGAAACCTAATGTTATACGGTAGAAATGTGTTGCCACTGGGCTTCCTAATAAATGTCTAACAGCTTACATGTGGCCTATAATGGATAAAAGTCTATAATTTCTCACAGTGCATTTATAGAGAGGTCGTCACATCACTTTACTCTTGGCATTCCCACTCGACCACACATCAGGAGGCTGATCGCTGCTTATTTGCATAAAGTCTGCTCAACTTTTTCCACATTGCCAACAGTCGCTGTCACTCATGTCATCTCACATCACCAGCTCGCTTCGAAAATGAATTCATTCCAGTCGCTTTGTCACTTCTGTCACTTTTGAGATCATTTCCCTGTTTATAATTTCCAAATGGTTCATCTCATTAACAGCCACTGAAGAGGTTGCGAAAAAAAACACAACAACAGCAGTTTCTGGCACTACAATGACAATGTAGCTGTTTCAAATGGAGAAAAATTCAGATCTGGACTCAGGATTGGCTTAACCAAATTTATGTTTCAGATTTTATTAAAAGTGAAGTATGCAATATCTTTGAAGCCAAATATTTTCTTCTATTCCAGTATAATAGGCAGAGACATAAGTACTCCATTCCTAGGCTGATTTCCCAGATACCTGTAAACACTGTAGCTCAGTGGTGCCTTCAAAACATTGCTGTTTGTTTTAGGATCCAGGCCAGACTGACACAGCAACACTGTCCCAACCAATGGCACAACATTAAGGTGGAGCTAGCAGTTCGTCTGGCCAATGGGAAATGATGGGTGTGTTCCTGTTTAAAAACAATACTTATTTTTGCAACTCTGTATGGAGCATAAACTACACCCTTCACCTTTAAATTTGGCTGTGGAACTACAAGTGTAATCTTTAAGAATGATGAATGTCTACTCTATGCATCATTTCAGCACAGTTAGATGCTAAGAGAAGTACACATATTATAGTGAACACAGAGCAGAAGTCAACCGCTGACAGCCACTCAAAACCAAGTGTGTCACTACAATAACACACAGTACATCACACTCTTTGCTGCATATTTTTTTGTTCCAGAAAGGCATTCAGGTGCACTTAAAATATCTGGTGACTATATCAAGTAAATATGAAAACACCAAACTCAAAAGAGCACTAATGTAGCTGTGTTGGGGAATAAATAACCAAAGTACTAAGAGCAGCTCAGTTTTTATAGTAGTTATATAAGTAGTTAATACTAGCTCCATAAAACACTACATTGCTATATTTTCTGTCATATTTTATTGCCCCCAGCAATAGTTGTGTTAAAAAAAAAACATGTTTTGTTATAAGAATATAATAAAACATGCTTGCCTAAAATGTTCTCCGTCTTTCATTGGGAAGCATCTCCATCTCTAGCATTGGGATGTCAGATTGATTTAAGTGAATCTGTTCATTTGCATGGTTCATGTAAAAAAATGATTAATTGAAGTCCATGTACAGTTCTGTAGCAAAATATTTAGTTAAATGCTGTCATTTCAAAGTAACTTCCCAAGCATTGATGTAGCACAATGCTATGCTTACATTACATAACAGAGAACGAGAGCCAGAGAAAAATAAAGGAAGCATTCCTATTACTGAGGACATGCACACCACAGTTTCCCCTCAAGTGTGAATCAATTCAATTTTAAATTATATACAAATGTAGCGTCTGGACCAATCAGACACACAATATATATTTTGTTAGTATTTAATGTGGACTGTGAGAGGTACAGAGCTCTGATCCCAAACCAGCAATAATAATTCCTTGTCTCTGAAGTGTTCCCCTGAGATACCTTAAATCTACAAACCTGAGCGAATAAACTCTCGGCTACTTAAAATGTGTGTTTTTTTTAATGCTAACTCTTCCCTGTGGAGAGCATTATCTTAAGGCTATTATGTATTTCTCTCACTACTGTAATGTGATGATAACTAGCAGGAGCTTCCACGGGGAGATGTCCGAGTTATCTTGAGTGCCTGACAGGGAGCTGATAGTGTTATATGACTTTGGTTTGTGGTCCTGAATTCCCAACACATTCCCAACAAAATAAAATACCTCACACCAGGTTTTTAAGCTGCAGCCATGGCTTATAAGGATAAAACATATGGCGTATGCTGCTGCGTTCTGATGGCTGTCTACAACAATATATGGGTGGTCTATCAATAAAGGAAAAGGCATCAAAGAAAACTAGGAAACCCATGAGGACCTGGACAGGTATGATATTGCCTCGCTGAACTGTAGCATACAATAAATGGGTTTCATGCAAAAGACGACAATCATTGACTGACAACCATAAAATATGGACTATCTGGATCATAAAGTCATCAACCTACCAGTAAGACTAATAACCTCTTGTCAAACAGCAAATGCTGGAAATTTATCTCAGGAAATGTTTAGTAGCACTTAACCCTCTGAGGTCGACTAACGCGGATACGCGTTTTGTGGCATCTTCTCCTGATAACACCGAAAAGAACTTAAATGACACTTTCAGTTTTGATCTTACAGATAAGAGCAATACATCAATCGAATCTAGGGCCCAAAACACCCTCGGACCCCAGAGGGTTAAGAAAAATCTTTGAAATGCTTTGAAAAGAAAATGCACAGTCAAATGGGACTGATCTGGTGTCATACATTAAATGATTCAGAAGGGACCACTTCATATTTACATTGAGTATTTAACACAAATTATTAGGCAAAGCATTTCAGTGTCAAATATTCTGATCATAATTATGGCCTTTTTCTGAAATGATTTCTGAAGGGCCAGGTGACACTGAAGACTGGAGTAATGACTGCTTAAAATTCAGTTTGCCATCACAGAAATAAATTACATTTTAAATATATTTTAAAAACAGATATTTTAAACTGTAATAATATTTCACAGCATTATTGTTTTTACTCTATTTTTGATTAAATAAATTCTGCCTTGGTGAGCATATAAGAGACCCTCCAAAAACATAAAAAAAATCTTACACAGGCCAAACGTTTGGACAGCAGTGTTAGTTTATCAAGAAATGATTCTCTGTTCAACATGTTCAGAAGTCAAAATCTCCTTCCTTTTTTTTTATAATGTGCCAAATACTTATTATTCAAATGTTACTTATTAAATCAATAATTCACTTCAATTAATGAATAAATTGAAATGTTGGGATGGTTACAAAATGATTTTCAGCTCCATTTATCAAACTGTCTCCACAGTCAGTCAAAAAGTCATACAGTCTTGACAAAATAATCATATTTGGCATATCACACATGTATTAAATGTAGTATCCATTTTTTCTGGTGTTCCTAGCCACTAAAATGACCTACTCAAAATGAGAGAAATTATCTAAAAATCTCAAAGAATTAAACTTGTTTGATGTAACTGACATGTCATGGTTGTGACAAAAAAAATAAGCATATTTATTTAAAACTGTTAAAAACCCTGAACAAGGCCTGTGTGGTGCAGATAAATTAAGGAAGACGAAGAAGAAAGACTGACTTTGACTTTTTAAATGTTTTCATTAATATCTGACAGAAAAAAATGCCTAACAGACACCTGAGGAAAAAAAACATTCTTGTGAACATAATTAATTTCAAAGTGAAAATAAATTTTTTAAATCTAATAGCAGGTAAAAGTCGTGGGACATGTTTTGTTCCACATGTCTCATGAACTGCAGTAGTGATGGAGATGTTTAATAACGACAGTATTTAAAGTAAAGTAGCAAAGTAAAGCAGGAAGGGCATGTCGTGGCACAATGTAAAAAATAACCAGGAATAAAAAAAAAAATACAATAACAATTGGAAGCTAGAAATCATTCCGGTGGAATTATGTTCCACCTCCTCAACCGACTGCACTCCTCAATCTGCACGTCGGCCTGACAAATTACTCTCTCACCAGCTCTATTCTGATTACGGCCTGATTACAGTCTGATGAGAAATACACAACTGCCAAATACAATAACAGGGTGCAGACATATGCCTATCAGGACTTAATTTGTTAGACATTTGGCAGAGGCGGTTAACCTTCTGAGAATGATAAAGGATGGGGTATCCAAACTTTGCAGAGTCCGATCCCACAGAAATCCTAATGACACTGAATTCTGTCCTCTAGCTAATAAAAAACCTTCATGCACAGCTCAAATGGAGGCTCAACTAGCCTGCAATTTTTAAGCCAAGTTTAAGGACTTGTGCTGGACTTTGTGTGGGGCTTGCAACTCAAAGAAACCTGAACCCAGAAAAATGATATGTCACTCCCCAAGCCCCCAAGGCACTGATAGACCTGAAAATGGAAAAGCTCTTGAACTGAGCGAGCCAGTCGGTGTCATTCAGCCCAGACACTAGAGTTGAGGCTCACGCACCACGAGCCAATTTGGGATGCGATGGATCAATAATTCTGTCAGGGAAACAGCCGAATAGGGAGGGGACCGTTACAGAAAAAGGGCATGGAGTCTTTCAAAGATGTTGGAAAAAATATTATCCCAAGTTTGCATATCTCTCTTTACTTTCCAAATGGTTTGGCTTAATTTAAGGTTCCAAAATGAATCGAAAATTAAAAGTGCAATATGCAAAATCTTTTCTTTTTTTCTGGAAAATAAGCCATATTTTTTATCATCTGAAACACGCTGTGACTTATATTACAAAATTAATTATATTAAGCAATTACCATCAAGTACACAGAACTTGCACAAAGTGCAAATATTTTATAATTTTATATATCTTATGTTTCTCATTTCTATTCTGTTCTGAAATCCTGACTGTGCTGCAATATATGAAAATATTATTATTATATTTTGAATAAATAAATAAATAAATACTTACTTACGGAGACCCTATCAAGCAGACAATTATAATTTGCTGATGTCATTCACTATTCAATAAAAAAAATATTGTGTTTTTGCTTTCAGGAATTTGGATTTGTTCGTTTCTAAAAAGATACTGAACAAAATACTACATATAATTGCGTCTTCTGAAAGAAGTTGTTTCTTTAGTAAAGAAGTAACTTTTTTGGCTGAAATAAAGATGTATTATTCCTACTAATTAGACTTGGCTTCATGAATGTCCCTCTATTACAGAACTTAACTGGAAAGAGCATATGTTGCAGTTTCAGCACGGAAAGCTTCTTCCCAGTTTCAAACGAGGAAGTAAAGAGCAGTGAACCATACAGGCTGATCAAAGCAGAGCTGCATTCACAACAAATCACATTTAACTGAGTGTATAACGATGGCTAATCTAAATGTTTCTTCCTGTGGAAAACTGCATGGACCATAGACAGGTAATTGCTGGAGACACATCATAAATACTTCAGAGTGCAGACAAAACCCAGAAGCCTCAGGTATGTCATTTAAACAAATGTTTTCCACTTAAATTGTCTCTTTAGGGCATTTTTTTTGTTAGCACTAGTCTGAAAAGTGACCAAAAAAAACATTTTCAAAGAAAACCACTAACATTTATTTTTTAAGCTGTAATGTTAATATGCCGTGTGGTTAAGTAATTCAAGGCATTTTATGCTAGAACCAGCTCTGTAACTGTGTGCGGGCATGTTTTGAGGGTGTATGAGGCTGTACATGAGCTGTGACCTTGTTCGATCCGCCTAAAAAAACAGGCATCCTGGAACGGTACGAATGTAGCGGTGTGAACGCACCACATCAACAGCTAATGTTTCTGGAAGAAATATTAGAGGGGAGGAAAGCGCTGTACAGGAACGTGGCATAATCAATTCTTGGTTTGGATGGGTCTAGACACCTAAAACATACACAAACATGCAAAGATGGAATTTATGCCTCAAGTTAATGAAAAATAATAAACAAGAATGGTTTTATATAAAACTGCACCACAGCAACATGACGAAAAAGCATCAGTCTACATCACCACCCAATTACATTTCTATTTCAGAAATTACATTTTTGTTTTAGTGGTATCCAAAAGCATTCCGTAATGCTGATGACAATGTTTCAGTTACTTTCATTTACCTGTTTCATGTTCCTCATCTTAAATTTCACATCATCAGATCCATAACCCAAACAATACAATCAGAAGGCCTGGTCATGCCAAGGGGCCAAAGTCAGGCTGGTTACCATGGCCAAGTTTGCCCCTACTGATACAGCAGCAAAAATAGCCGTGTATTCCAACAAAACAACATTTTTTTGTAAACAATATATGAATCAGGAATACAGTGGGTACGGAAAGTATTCAGACCCCCTTAAATTTTTCACTCTTTGTTATATTGCAGCCATTTGCTAAAATCATTTAAGTTAATTTTTTTTCCTCATTAATGTACACACAGCACCCCATATTGACAGAAAAACACAGAATTGTTGACATTTTTGCAAATTTATTAAAAAAGAAAAACTGAAAAATGCTCAGTATTTAGTAGAAGCACCCATTTGATCTAATACAGCCATGAGTCTTTTTGATGCAACAAGTTTTTCACACCTGGAATTGGGGATCCTCTGCCATTCCTCCTTGCAGATCCTCTCCAGTTCTGTCAGGTGGGATGGTAAACGTTGGTGGACAGCCATTTTTAGGTCTCTCCAGAGATGCTCAATTGGGTTTAAGTCAAAAAATTAACTTAAATGATTTTAGCAAATGGCTGCAATATAACAAAGAGTGAAAAATTTAAGGGGGTCTGAATACTTTCCGTACCCACTGTATATCCGTGTCAAATCGGTTACTGGATATGTAATTGTGTATGGTCTTTTCCCCAACTTTTACATTTAGATTACCTCTTCCATCATCTAACAATTAATCTATAAAACGCTAATAATTTTGTAACATAAAAAATATATAACCATAAAAGCTTGAGGCTTTAACCTGCCATGTAAAAATGATGACAGAAAAATACTATTACTGTATTGTAAAAATATATATATATATTATTATTAATAATAATAATAATAATAAATATTTAGGTTGGACATACTTTAAAATGCTAATAATTTAACTTAACACAATCTGAAAATTAATATCAATTTAATATATTGTACATCATACATACATATTTTATTTACTGTACATTATGTTATGACATGTTGTAGGATTAAAGTGACTGATTTTAGTTATTTAGGAAAAAAAAATGTATAGAATTGTAATATTGGCTACAACATGAAAATAATTATTGTTTATCACATCGGCCAGAATTGTAATTTTGGTGCATCCCTAATCAAAGTAAATGATTTGCAACTGAGGTGTATGGCAAGAATGAAATAAAAAACTGAAACAAATCACTATTCAAACCAGGATCAAAATGAAAAACACACGCTTTAATGCGAGAAACAGCCATCTGGCGATACAGATTTCATATTCTTTAGTGCAAAATATACACCATCTGATAATACAAATTTCAGACACAAAGAGGGGAAACAGAGGAAACAGAGTGTTGCCTTAACACCAGGAGAGTGACAATTTCCCCTCTTTTCAGGCATAAACCAAGTGCAAGATCCCCCAATCTGTCAGTTCAACCTTCAGATGTACGGAGGAGGAAGCTGATATAAATCATTTCCACGTTGATCTACAAGAATGACAACGTGATGTGCGCTACCTGT